CCCCAAAACCCCAAAACCCCAAAACCCCGAATATTTTTATACAAAATGATTTTATAATAATTTATCAGAAATGGAACAAAATAAAACAAGCGAGCAGAGCGAGTTATTCCGCATTGATAAAACTTCAAACAAGAATTCTCTAAAAGTAGATGGTAGAATTCAAAATAGAACAAACCAATTTTTAAACAACAAAGATGCTGATGAACTTAGAATTAACAGAAGTGAGCACAATGAAGCGAGCAGGAAAGTGATAAAAACCCAAAAGTTTGCAAAGAACAGAAATTATAGGAAGAAAGATCGATCCGACACCAATATTATCACAGGCACTCCGGCTGAGAAGATTGAGCACACTATTACCCAAGCTCAATCTTTATGGGAAGAAGGAATGGACATTATGGATTATTTCCTAATTTTGAGAGATACCAAGTTTGAGCTCATTGACTTTCCACTTCTTCAAGGACTGATTAAATCTGACAAAGATCATAACATTTTATTAGCAGTAGTTGGACTGAGAAAATTGTTATCTCTTGTTGACAATTCTCCTGACCAGTGTGTAGTTGATGCAGATCTGCTCCCTCTTCTAATTACTCTGATAAGTAGAGATGATTTTCCTAAAATTCAGTTTGAAGCCTTATGGTGTCTGACAAATATTGCTAGTGGCAAAGCAGAGCATGTCAAGGCTCTTGTTGATAAAGGTACCATCCCTGTCTTCATCAGCTTGCTTGGGACCACCCACAGAAATGAAGATGAAACTGAGACCTACCACAACTCTCATCGGCAGAACATTGTAGAGCAGAGTATCTGGGCTTTAGGAAATATTGCTGGTGAAGATACTTACTACAAAGCGATGATTTTTAAAGAAGGAGCTCTGAAGCCACTCGTGAATATTCTCAAGAATGCAGAACCAAACTCGATGATGACGAGGAATTGTATGTGGTGCATCACTAACTTGTTGATAAACAAGCCTTTTCCAACAATTGAAGAGCTTGTATATATCATCCCAATAATCAGTAAGTGCTTGAAAAGTAACGAGAAAGAAGAGATTGTTATTGATGGCATAAGGTTTATTACATACATCTCATATGCTGGCAAACAGACAATTAATAAGATGATAGAGCTTGGAATCATTGAAATACTTAACTCCTACCTCAAATTTGCTGATGATATTAGCAATGAGATAATTCTGCTGTGAGTAAAAACACTCGGGAACTTTGCATCAGCAGAAGAAGAACAGACTCAGGCTATTATTGATGCAGGGGTGCTGCCTCATTTCCATGACTTGCTATCTCATCCAGATAAAACTATTGTCAAGGAGGTTTGTTGGGCATTATCCAACATCTGTGTTGGACCAAATAAGCATATATCAGTTTTGATTGAATTAGGAACCATTAAAAAGTTGATTGAATTAGCTAAAACTGGTGAGCATGAGGTCCAGAAAGAAGCTGCTTGGGCGATATGCAACTTAATTTATTGCAAAGATATCAAAATTATTGAAGAAATTGCTAAAAAGGGAGGAATTGAAGCTATTTGCTATATTTTAAAGAACATTGTGGACACTAAAATAGCAGTCATTCTGCTAGAAGGGATTATTAAATGTCTTGAAGCTGGTAAGAGAGGCTTCATTAACGAAAATGGTGAAAATGAATTTGCTCTGATTGTTGATAATTGTGGAGGGCTTAGTACTATTGAGAGTTTGCAGATCCATCAAAACCAGTATGTTTATGAGCTCTGTTGTAAGATTCTTGACGGATATTTTATAGAAGATGAAGATAATAGCAGTGTAGACTTTAATATCATGATTAAGCAATTCTAATTAAATTAATTAGAACCATTTCAATAAACCTGAAACCTATTGGGGTTTTGGGGTTTTGGGGTTTTGGGGTTTTGGGGTTTTGGGG